CTATCTCCAGTTCATTTTTTTCTCCGTTAACATCCTTATTCTCTTCTTTCTGCACATCTTTTTCCTTTCCATGATCAATGAATGCCACAAAACTTCTAGTCATCAGATTAAACATACTTCCAAAAAACAATGCAATAACTGTACATGTTAAAGTTATAACATTATATGGCATACTAAAATCTGGTGTTGGTAAACTAACTAATAATGTTTCTGTATATATACGAATTGGAAAATGTATATATTCCACTAGTGGTTTTTTTGTTTCGAGCTTATTTGTCGAATTACTATTATTCATAATTTTTGTATCAGTCATATTCACAAAACAATTGATTAATTCGCAGTCGGTGAAACTGTGCCCAGTTTATTGATTTCTATGAATAACATAAGTTATCTACCCGATCAAAATTGTCTCATAACCTAGTAAAACAAAACTTTAAGCGAAGATAATTCGTAATCGTCTGATTCAATATTTTTCTTTATCTGAATTCTATACATTCATATAATTCAAATAAATGAATTTGATCAAGTGGTTATCGAATTATCTTCGATCAAAATTTTTAAATCCGCCCTAAATAAAGTTGCGCCAAATTTTTAAGACAACAGCAGACCAAAGTTTTTGTTTAAATTTTACGAAAAATAGAATTCAAATGAAAATTCTTCATTTGAATTTATCAGGCTATTGGCTATATAACTTCGATCAAAGTTTTAAAAAATTCAAAAAATCTATCAAAATATAAGTTGCGCCAAATTTTTCTAAGATTTGAGCGACAACCACCTGACCGAATTCAGTGAAGTTTCTTATTTGAATTCTACAAATTCATGGAATTCAAGTAAAAAAAATTCGCTCAATTAGATCAGGTGGTTGTCAAGTTATCTTCGCTTAAAGTTTTGTTTTGCTAGGTATGAAGAGACAAAAATTTGATTGCTAGATATGTTATCTTACACATAGAAAATCAACAAATTCACCGATTGCGATTAATTCTTGTCGAAGTGAGCTTTGGCGATTGGTTTTAAAATCGTTATATGAAATATGAAATAATGGTTATAAACATACCTCAAAAAAATCATCAACGATCTCTCCAGTAGAAACGATTCCGCTTCCAATATCGAATCCTCTATTAGCATCTGGTGGGTGTTCAGTATATTTTAAAAATACTTTATCAAAATTTATTGATAATGTTGTTAATGAGTTTGGCGGTAATAACATCTCAGCTTCAATAACATTTGGTCGAGACCTGTCCACCGCTGGCTGGAAATATAAATCTTTAATGGGATGATCTTTATTGACTTATTTTTTTTTATATTTTTATTTAACAGTTAGTTGAAATTTTGTAAAAGTGGATTTAATACTAATAATAATCAAATACCTGCGTCAAATTTTGTATTCTTTCCATTTATTTGCACCTTGAGTGTATGCAGATATAACTTCAAATACCAAGGTATAACATCATAATATATTATATGTATGGAAGAATTTGGGCTTTTATTAAATATATTAACTTTTATTCCACCTCTTTCTTGACCATAGCCTACAACAAAACAATGTACAAAAACAGTATGAAACCCAAGATACAATGAAATAATAATGAAAAAGTATTTAGATAATAAATTTAACCTGTAAAAAATCGATGTGCAAAAATTCGTGGCTGAATAGGATTAATATCTAAAAAAAAAAAAAAAAAAAGTTAAAATTAAAATACATATTATATATTCATTCAGAGAAAAAACTCTAAAAATAGATTCTACTATATTCAAATGTATCTTCATTCCATTTCATTGAAAGTTCTGTATTTGGTTCAACTAAAAATTGTTTTTACAAATGTAAGTACATCAACAATTTACATTTGAATCTAACAATTATAATAAATACTTTTCTTAAGATCATATATTGCGATCTTCTTCTCAGTACCACTATTGGTATCATCCTTATTTCTTTTAATATCATCAGCATATGGAATTATTTCGTAATCACCGTCTTCTGGCAATATTATTTTAAGATCGCTCTTTTCCGCTAACGGACATGCCTGTGAAAGTTGACGACCAAAGACCTTGCTTAATGACCAATCTTGGAGCAGAAATTCAATTGTGTTAAAATTCAATTCTTAATATAAATGAACTACGAAATATAAACAAACCTCTTTTTCCCGAATTACGAACTGGATCTATAACTGTTGATACGGTTTGAATGATCTCTAACTGTTGACTCTTACAATCAGGTTTCTGTTAAAAGACAACCAAATTTTATTAAAACTATCATTAACAAAAGAATTTTAATTATATTAACTACCTCGCATGATGGCCGAACGTGGATTGACATTGAATGAAAATTCGAATCATATAACTTATGCCCATTCAAAAGTGATGCTATACCAGACTTTATATATAATTAGTAAAATTTAAAGACAATTAATCTAAAATTCATAAAATAACCTACTGTAGATTTGCATGGAAGAAGCTTAATCCAAGGCGTCAAGTTCTCGGTACAAACATTTTCATGAGGCAGAGAGCCATATCTTAACTCTGCCCTCTCTACTAATTCAGTTGCTACATAATATTAAATTTTGCCAACATGAAAGGTTAATAACCAACAATAATGATTCATTCGATTCTAAATGCTTACAATTCGACTGTAGATCTACAATAAAATCATTTACCATTGAACGGACCTTCCGGTCGAAACGATAATTTAGGCTGAACTGTAATTGTATCATCAATAAAATTTAAGGAAGCACAAAAAAGACCAGCAAGAGCATTTGTCAGTGATTTCCAATTTTCATCCAACCTGACATCAATAAATGAGAACAATAAAAAAAGAATAAGTTTAATAAAGAAGGTAAAAGATCAATGCTTTACA